TCGATGGTCCGTTTGATCTCAGAATTGATGACGGAGGCTAGGCACGCCAAGGCATCCGCGTGTGTTCTGGTCACGTGTTATTTGGTTCAGTTCGTGATGGTCAAATTTTGCCAGCAAGGAATTGGCCGTTTTTATGTAGGCCGCCATACAGTCGTTTCTTGCCGCGTACTTCCCCTTTAGCTGACTGATTACCAATTTTGAATCACAAAACACAAACAGACGCCGAGCGCCGAGAAGCTGCGCATTCCGCAGATCGGCTAGAAGGGCTTCGTATTCGGTTTCGTTATTTGATGCTTCGAAGCCAAGCTTGACGGCCTGCTCAATTACTGTGCCGTCTGGAGACATGATTACAACTCCGGCGCCGCTGCCCCTGTTGTTAGACGATCCACACAGTATAATTAGCCAAATATCCCCGACATAAATTCTCCAGTTCAGCTTTGGTCGAACTTCGTCAGGTTTGAGGTTGGCAAGCTCGTCGGTGAATCGGCAACAAGTCGGCCAACAACCTGCCTTGATTGCGCGTTTTAGATAAAAACGAATGTCGTATGTGCGCGAGTTCAAGAGCCCATTTTGAAACACGTCCTGATGCTTCTGTACTCCGTAGTACTGATCGGAGGGATAATCTGTTAGCACCCCAATGCTATGTCCCTGGAAGTAATGCATCAGTTTTCTTGCCGCCATGACTAGGGCTAAGATGAGTTTTTTCTAGCGGAAGGTAGCATATTTCGGCGTCAACCATTGCCTTGCTCACATAATACACTGGCCATTGCCCCCTTCTCCTCTTTTAGCAGTACGGCGCTGACTGCCCTATTGAAAATGCCAGATATAGAATGAGCAGTCACCAGCGGCGGGTGTTGGTCAATGAGAGGTACTGAGCGGAGGTAGGTCTTGAGTCCGTTGAAAGCTGTTTCGCATTCGGTGACCATTCAAAAGCCTTACCCTGCGTAGTGTCTAAAAGAATTGTCGGCAGCGATCTGTAGACCGGCTGATGAACCTGTTGAGTGCACGCGTCATCCGCATCAACTTTTTGGACTTCTTTTACTGAACGGGGGGAGCCCGAAGTTCCAGATTGCTGTGACTTTCACTTGAGATTTTCCACTATCTTGGTGATTGACGATGTAACCCAGGAATTTGCCAGAGCCGATTCCGAACGCACACTTGGAAGCGTTTAGTTTCATTCTATATTTGCGTAAGATGTTGAATGTCTTTTCTAGATCGGCTATATGATTCTGTTCTTCTTTAGACTTGACCACCATATCGTCGATGTATACTTCCATAGTATGGCCGAGTTGCTCTTTGAACATGGCGGTGACCAGTTTTTGGTAGGTTGCCCCCGCATTCTTCAGCCCAAAAGGCATAACTTTGTAGCAGTAGGTTCCTCTTGGGGTGAGGAATGCGGTTTTGTCCTGGTCATTTGGATGCATGGCGATTTGATGGTAGCCTCTGTAAGCATCGAGGAAGCTCATGCGTTGATAGCGTGTCGTCGCATCGACAAGCTGGTCGATTCTGGGTAGAGGAAAATAGTTTTTGGGGCAAGCTTTGTTCAGATCTGTGAAATCGATGCACACTCGCCAAGTCCTATTTTTCTTCTTCACTACCATTGTATTGGAGAGCCACGTAGGGTAAGTGACTTCTCTAATTGCCCCGGCGTCAAACAGTCTGTCTACCTCCTCAACAACGGTGGCAGTGTGCTCCGCGGTTGACCGTCGGCCTTTCTGAATGATCGGCTTACATTTGGGATCGGCATTCAGATAGTGCTGTGAAACTGACGGGTCTATTCCCGGCATTTCGTACGGAGTCCACGCAAAGGCGTCGAGGTTGTTGAGCAAGAAAGAGATCAACTGCTGCCTGTCAGCTTGATTCAGAGAAGTGTCGATCATGAAGAACTTTTCTGGGCTTTCATCGATGTCAACTTGGTCTAAACCTTCCGTGGCCTTCTCGTTTGGATGCCACACAATGTCATCAAGGATCTCCCAATTTGACACCTCAATGGAGTTTACTTGCAGTTCCTTTGGCGTTTTGGCGGCAAGGAGATAACATGCTTGTGCTGATTTCTGGGAGCCGCGGATTTGCTCAATGCCGTGTTCTGTTGGGAAACGTAGCAGTTGATGATAGGTGCCTGGGACGACCTGCAAGGTATGCAACCACGATCGCCCCATGATGAGATTGTACGGCGATGGCAGCCTGACGACCAAGAATTCCACATCCGCCGTTTTGGAACCTGCTTGAACGGGTAAGCTGATCTTTCCCAATGGGTACTCTAGATTGGCATTGAAGCCGAATAGTGGATAAGGAGCCGGAGTCAGGTCTGACTCGTTGAATCCGAGTTTGATGAAGGTTTTATAATACATAGCCTCCGAAGTACTGCCCTGGTCGATAAGAACACGTTCGACGGTGAACCGGTTTACGCGTAGCTCAACAACCAATGAATCGATGTGAGGGAGTGTTAAGCCGATCAAATCAGAGTTGTCAAAGGTGATACTTGGCGTTTCTCAGAGACGCTTTGCTGGCGTGAGTTGCTGTTGGGGGTCTAGATGTGATTGGATTGCATGCACGACTGGGGCTGCTGGCAGGCTGTATATCATGTGAACGATGTCAAGCGGAAATGCATCCTTCGGAAGGGCAGGTGTTTTGGTCGCACTCCCTCGGACACATTGTTGGAGACGTTCGCCCTTTGCCAACTCCTCAAGATGATCTGTTGAGGCATAGCGGCCGTCAGTTTCTTGCTGTCGGGTCCAAGATCGTTGATCATCTGCTCTCGGGGGTCGCTCAGAAGCCTGGCGCACCGTTTGTTTGGATTTTTCTATTTCCGAGGCTAGATTGCGACGAAGGCGTTCGTTCTCAGCGATGATGTTGTCCAACCTCTGTTTGGTTTGCCTAGCTTGTGCCATGGTCGCTTGTATTGTCTTTTGGGGTTTGAAGATGAGCAGAGGTCCAAGGCAAGTCTTGCTGCGATGGCTTTTGGTCCAAGCGAGTTTGCTGGAGTGAGGTCATCTCTCTGTGTGATCTTGTCAGTGGCTATCGGAGGATTTTCAGTCACGCTTGCCATGGATGTATTTGAGTATTCCCACAGATGGTGCCAATTGTGGAGAAGTGGTTTGGAAATACTTTTCAGATCCTGGGAGACGCTGGTGATTCTCAGCTAGTCACCTGAAAAGATAAAAACACTTCGGTCGGGGGTGCCGGAATTAGCACTCTGACGGACAAGTCAGTTCAGACACTCAGGATAGCTTGTTTACTAAGTTAAGTGAAGTGATTCTTACATACCTTTCTAAATATGTGGTTCTTGTATTTATACTTGCTTTTTGGGCCTCGAGGCCTGAGCCTACTTTTATCCCATTCCTCTTTTATTTATTCGGAGCTACTGATCTCCGGCTATTCGACCTTCCTAACGTATTCGGCATCCTAGTCACGCAATATGGAGCCGAATAATATCTGATTTCTGGGGTACGCACCTTCCGACTCTTCTATTTATTCGGCTCCCACAAGTCTCATATTGTCCAACCAAAATCTAGCTCAAATTTTGTCATAATGGAATACTGATCAAATCTAATTTCAAGGTTCCAAAAGAAGAACAAATATCAACTGAGCAGGAGCTACCAATGGAATGAGATTTCATCCAAAGTGCTACCCTTACTTGCATGACTAAATTGAAATCATTTAGCCCTAAATCTTAAACTTGAGGTTGCTTTCACTTACATTTTGGTCAAAAAGTTGCTCAAATAAAAACTAGAATGAATATGAATAGTTTGATAGCATTGCGCCACAAATGATGATATGTGCCAATTGGGGCCAGTGTCAACCACATACATGAAAATACTATTTTGTACACAATCTAGAATGATGTACTGATATCCTAAAGACTAGAGCAAAGCTTGTTATAGACAAAAAGAGCACCATGAAATAGAAGATGAAATTGAAGATCTATACACAACTCATCGTATTCTTAACTCATCCTTCACCCTATCTCGATACTAGAAACTCATCCTATGCTTAAGTAACATCCAACTCTTGTCCATATTTGGTCATCTACAAAGCCAATGTTATGTGAAATTCCTTTGTTATTATGTACACTAATATTCAATAGGTAAGTGGTCCAATCCCATTTATGAATGCACATTGAAAACATATACTAAAATGGAATTGGGCTGGGTGCTATCATAGCCCCTTTCTGTGACAGCAAAAGGCCCACTGTTTAGGTAGTTGCTTTGTTAAAATAAAAAAATAAAAAAAATTAGAAAGTTGGAAACAAGTGTTGCTACAACCTAACCAAATATCAATATTTAGCTGTAAAAGTGAAACTATATCGATTCACATTCAAAAAATAGAAAAAAGCAATCCTCCCCTGTGAAAAAGTGTTGATTGGTTGAATGGATTAGACGGGAAAAAATTGAATGAAAATCACATCTAGTTTTTTTGTTTTTTTTAAAAAAAAAAATAAATCAAACTCATTTAATTTCTTTAATAGATGTGATTTCATCGTTTTATGTAATATGTGTTGTGACACGTTCACAGTAGTAAAATAAAAAACTAAGAATACAATAAGTGAATCCTTGAACAACCACAAAATTAATATAAAAAGTGTTAAAATTCTCTAAATAAATTTAAAATGCCTTAACAAATAGTCAAAGATTATATTAACCGATAACCTATAACCTTGGCAATTGTAAATCAAAGTTTAAATTAAAATCGCGCTATACATAAAATTAATAGAGAGTTATGGGCATGAAATGAATGTCAAATAACATATAAGGATACTCATGTCATGTCTTTAATTTTTTTAATTGTCTACCTTATTTGTCATGCTTACTCGCCATGGATATATGCAAAATAAACAATTCGATTATATCACTATATATCGAATCAAAATGTGATCTACACATTTAAATAAATGATTGTACTTCTAATCTAGACAACAATTGAATCAAGTATTCCCAACCTAAGCACCAAAGGCATGTTTCTAATTTCGTCAGTTTAGTGTCAAGTACATAGATTGGAACCTGGATTGGAAACTTGGATTGAAGCAAAAATAAATATCAATTAAAGCAATGGCATGGCATGGCATGGCATCATACAAGTCAAAACCTACAAGCAAAAATTTTAAGCAAAATTACAAGCAAAAAAAACAAAACTCTGTTCGTATATAAAAAGCAGTACTTCTATGAATTTAAATGTTAATTTTAAACTCTTATATGACCAATTTCAAACTGTTTACAAATTCCTCATAGGGAAGAGAAGAGAAGAGGTTGGTGTATTCGCATGTTTTGCCATCCACTATTTGGGGTTTTTTTTTTTTTTTTTTTATATTTTCTTTGGTGTGGTGGTTTACACATGACCATTTTCTACAACTATATAACACAATTCAACTTTAATTCGAAAATATAGACAATATAATTATGCACCATTAAATGAAAGAAGAAAAAGAAAGTAACATAAATATATAAAGTAAAAATTACATTAATGAATTTTTAATGTAAAATTAAAAAAGAAGCCACTAGAATTGTCAAATTGAGAAATAAATAAATAAAAGAAGCTATAAAATATATTTAATAGCTTGAAAATAAAACAAAAGAAAGCTATAAAATCTATTCATCAAGTCTGTAGAATAGAGCAAGGTAGGTGCAGCCTCATGTTCCTTATCTATACTTCTCAACATTGAACATAAATTCAGACTAAAGCATACCACACTATAAGCAGAATTTTAGAGGTTTGTACTCATGATTTGCTACTTTTAAGCATGAATCTTATCTAAATTCATTCTGAAAAGTGTGACCTTCAACCATTATTGTAGTATTGATATTGAAATGTTTTATACAAATGAATATCCTATGCTATCTATGTTTGGAAACGTATATAAATGACATCCTCAGTTAGTCCCATGTACTAGGGGACAACAAACTTACTAATAGTATATGATTGAGATCTTCTTTGCCGCATGTGTGTGTAGTATTGGGTTGTTATGCCCATCATTTATTCAATATCATAGTGATATAGTTGTATAGTAGAGTAGGTTATATACATAAAAACAGAGTTCTAGCCATGGCTACATCCTTTTGTAATTGTATTAAAAAAAAATTAAGAATGAAATTCTAAAGCCAACAATATTTTCTTGAAAACCATGAAGAGTGTGACACCTCTCATGCCATCTGACAACCAAACTAAACAACCATGGCTTGAAGCAACCCAATTAGAGGCATAACCACAACAAAACAATCATGGTCTAAAGCAACCCAAAGAGGCACAACCTCCACCAATGTGAAACATGATTAGAAAATACACTATGGTGGTATTTTAAGATTTCATTTTCCTGGTGTTCTCAATGTTAGTATTGATACATATCTTTGCTAATATTATAATAAAAAAAATGGCAACAAAATTATTATATATACATGGATTTTAATTAAGAATAATCTCTCTTTATCTCATTTCTTTCTACTATCATTATACTATTTAGCTTCTAAATTGAAAATTCAAATTATTCTACTCAATTTTAGATGAATTCAGGCACATTCTTAAGTTGAAAAAAATTACAAGTAATCTCAATTTTTAAGTTCAATAAGTTGAAAAAAATCAAATAATCTATAATATAGTGTTGTAACATACACCATCAATTGACCTTTCTTTAATCAAATAATCGAACTAAACCTAAAGATTTATTTACAAAAAATAAAAATAAAAATTCAAACCTATTAAGAAATGAATTGAACAAATACAAATTCTATTAAGAGAGTGGAATTGAACAAATACAAATTCTATTATGTATTAAAATTAAGTTAATTTTTTTTTATACATACCTTATTCCCCACTCCATCCTTGCGTGTGAGAGATTTTTGCCCGTAATTCTTATTTTACAACTACTATATTAAAGAGCACAAATCCGTCAGGAAATAGCTTTTCAAACTTTGGAAAGCATAATGGTTCACACAAAGACAATAAGAGGAAAAGTCATGGCCTGACAGTGTAAAGAAATTTTTTTCCCTTTTTTTCTAAACTCAAAGAAATCAAGATTTCAAAAAGCAAATGACAGTGTAAAGAAACCCAATAATGGAGGTGGAAGTATGAATAACAGTCATAAAGCAACTCAGCTACGTCAAATCCAATGCCTAACATGAAAGGAAAACAACATTAGGGAAACGACGAAAAATGAAGCAAAACCCAGATCAAACTGAGAAGAAAAAAAAAAACCCAGGTTCGAATGTTTGATTTTTTGTAAGAAAAACCCAATTACAGATACAATTCACATATACGATTAACATAAACAACTCCAAAACAGAGGGAGGCTAAGAGGAGACGGAAAAAGAAAAACTTAGATTGGGATTTCTGCAATAGAAGAAGGAAGCAATTTTGTGCATCATGTTTGATTTTCTGTATTTGGTTTTTGTCCTCATTCGTTCATGGTGGGCATTAGACAAAACAACAAATCAAAAAATTCAAGAACAGAGCCTTTTAGTTACCTAATTGCAGACTTTTCACGAGATTGGAGGGTATTCTGATCGATGTCCCAATACCGATTTGATGCCCTCTTGTGCAAAGGTGGCGCTGGGCCGCAGTGGCGCTTGCGAAGGTGGAGCTTCCGCCCGTCGTCTCTCACTCTTGCTCTCCCTCTTCTATATGCCTTTTGAGGTAGAGGGAGAGAGAGAGAAGAAGAAGAAGACGAAGAAGAGAAGAAGAGCATACCAGTGTTGTGTGGTTTCTGATGGAGTGAGAAAATGAGATGGTGAAGTGATGGTCAATTGTTTCTTTATTCACCAAAAAGTTCAATAAACTATTTTTGGCAATGAAAAATTAGGAAAAGACAAATAATTTATTAACGATCAAATTAATTCGGTTGTCAAAAATACCAGACTATGGCTCTATTTAGTAGGGCTTATTTTCAGTTTATTTTAACTTTTAGCTTAATTTAAGTTATTTTAATGTGTTTGGTTCAGCTTAACAATACAGCTTATAGCTTTTTATAAGTTAAAAATCAACTTATTCTTTGAGTGGTGGAGGAGAAGCTTAATTTATAAGTCAAAAATCAACTTATGTTCACAGCTATAAGTTATAAACTGTTAGACTATAAGTTATAATCACTTTCCTACAACTCTATCAAATGAGGCCAATGTTTGTTGCCAAACAAATACAATTGGCGAGTAAAATTTCCATTGCCATAAATTAATTTGGTTGGTGAAAATTTTTTAGTGCTCTCGCACAGAATTTTCACTTGGCGCCAAACTCAATAGCGATCAGAAATTTAGGTTGCGTTTGGTAGAGTTTTCTAAATATGATTTGAGAATAGAGTTGTATTTTGAGTTTGTGAGTTTTGAAATTATGATTTGAGTGTGAAAAATTTGTTTGGTGAATGAGTTTTGAATTGAGTGAGAAATTTTTGATGTGATATATGATATTTGATATAAAAACTTACAACTCATAATCAAACACACAACTCAAAATTCTATTAAAGCTCATAAAGAATGTTAAAAAATTCAAAAAATATTTTTTTATTGAATATATAAAAATTAACATGGGTCAATTGCAAAAATAAAAAATAAAAAAAAAATTGCACTGTTCCTGTCAATCGGTGTGACGTCCGATTAGTCCAAATTTTCTCACCTTCGACCGCATTCGTGGAATTAATTTTTGAAAATCGTAAACAAATACTATATTCAAATCAAGCTCTGGAACTAACGTTTCGGAGCTCTACCAAACATAGCCTTAAATTTCTCGCCAAAAGTTTAGTTTTTAGAGACCATAAATATTCTGTCACCAATTATGTAACTTTGGCAACTAAATTTTTGCTTTGTTGCTAAAAAATGTCACCAAAAAAACTTTTTGTTGTAGTGCACGTCATACAACCATCACATATTTCTAATGTTGAAGTTTACATCATAAAATGCAGAACATTAAAATATGCTAATTCATAACAATAATAACTTCAGTGAATGTGAACGTTCACATTCACCAAAACACCCACCCAATAAGCATACACACACTATCCACATAACCATATATACCATAAACATGAAATAACCATTGATATGTGAACATTCACATCTTGGAAAAAATATAGCTATATTCATATTTTGCATTGCTAATCCCAAACTAAAAACTTTATGGCCATCATTATAGATTAGACAAGTTCAAATTCACACCACCAAATATAAGGGCAATATATATGCACCAAATTGAGCAAAAATGATATAATCAATAATATGTGAACATTCACATTGTTTACGCAATGTGAACATTGACAATATCCAGAAAAACAGAGTCCTATATGAATACATTACAAAACAAAAATCATAACCGCACTTAACAAAAATATATTTGCATTTCCACCCATTCCAGAAAACGAAGTTGAAAGCAAACAATAGAGCACTCAATGCTCTATATAAATCCAAACATAAATGAAAATGCATCCATAAACAAAATAATACTAACATTGAGACCAAATTATCTACTCGTTCTCTCCCTTTGATCTCTGACTTCACAAAATTATGTCAAAAAAATATAGCACAAACAAACAACACTATGTAGTCTTGATTTGTCATCTTTCTCTAACACCAATGAAACCCTAGCACAATGAAGCAACACCACAACGAGAGTGAAACTGAATCACAATCAAAAGCGTGAATCATAATAACTGCCAAAACAGAAGGATAGTAAAAAAGGAAGCTTGTATATCATTTTTGTTTGTGATACATATTAACAATAAATATAAGGATATAATAATCCAACAAATAATGTAAATCAGGAAAAAAAGATCTCATGGAATAAAAGTATAAATACATCAGACTAACTAGGTTATGAATTTCTGTTATAAACTTAGTTAGAATACTCCTAAATGAGATTTATCAATAAAAATCTCTTTGTTTATAGATTAGTGTTATGGTATTACTTAATTGGAAATTTTCCTTTAATCCAGGGTAATTGTTTAGTAAGTCTGGAGTATACATACGTGTTATTTCATAATATTATAATTGGTAAAAATATTAAATAAGTGAGATATTATGTCACTACAACAAATCGTACATTTGGCGACTAAAATTGGCGACCAAACCAATTTTAGTCGCCAAAAACAGGGTGTAATAATTAATTAAGAACACAAATACATGATACTCCAAAAATATTCGGTAAGTTCCCCCAAACGTTTTCCTATATGGAACTAAACAAACATGCTCCATATGGAGTATTTGCATATAACTGCAGGCTATAATTAAATGATGAATTGCCTGCCTATTATTGCCAACCTTTAGCAGATGAAAACAAGCTTGGCCATGCAAATGGATGGTGATGTAAATGACTTATTCTTCACATGGTTGTAAGGGAAAGGGACCATCTCAATTTACTAGGCACTACTACTATCTTATCAAATGAAAACTTTTATTGCATGGGATGTAGTAGCCATTTTTCTCTCTTTTTAATATTAGGGTTGGATCAAATTACACTAACCACTTATGATATATTGAAAAATATATATCCTGTTTGTTTTTAAATTATGTTGACCTTCTCTTTAGTATTCATCTAGTGGAACTAAATCCTCTCTGTTACATGACTAATACAAAAATCTTTATTTTAATATGATTGTCAATTTCAAAATAATAAGCTATCCAAAAAAGATAAGCACACCAAATAAATTACTAAATGAATTATGAATTATTAATAAGACACGAGTGTGAGCTCCACATGTGTATAAATTTTATATTGATATATTTTGTGATATATTTTGTTAATAATTCACTAAAGTAGAATTGGGGGTTCAATGCTAAATACCATATCAGATGGTGTACTATATTAGTATTTTTTTAAAGTAGATTAAAGGCTAAATTTTAATCACTACACACAAATCTTATTATATGAGGAAAATGAGATTTTTATTGAGAAGGCTTGTGAGAGTATCAAAATCTGGTACTAATTTTCTTAATTTTTTTTTAAAAAATTTTAAACAATTAAAAAAATCTCTATTGGCTAGCTTTCATTTAACCATATAAAAATAAAACTCTAATTAGCTTATGATTTATTTGATAATCCCACATCGAGAAAAGAAGGAAAAAGTGAGTTGTTTCACTTATATAAAATGAATCTTAACCTCCCATTAATGTTGTCACTACAAGAAATTTCACTTTTGGTGACTAAATTTTTAGCCGCCAAAAGTACGATTTTAGTCGCCGGATAGGTCGCGAGAAGGTTGTCGGGAAAGATATTGGTAACTGAAAAATATTTAGTCACCAAAAGTCTTATAAATGGCGACTGGTATTTTTAGTCGCCAAAAATAATATTTTAGTCGCCAAAAATCTTATTTTCCGCTACTAAAACTTTGGTCGCCAAAACTTGAAGTATCTAGGGCAACCAAAGTTTTAGTCGCCAAAGGGGTTTTTTTTTTTCATCTTATTTATTTTATTTTATTTTTTTAGCTACTAAATATTTAGTAGCCAAAAGTTTTTCTCCATTTTATTTTTATTTTTATTTTTAGCTACTAAATATTTAGTAGCCAAAAGTGTTTTTCCATTTTATTTTTATTTTTAGCTACTAACTATTTAGTCGCTAAAAATATTCACTTCATTTTTGGGTACTAATTGTTTAGTTGCAAAAAACATGATTTTATTTTATTTTTTAATTAATTTGTCCACAACCCATATGTATTCCATGCAACTTGTATCATATAATTATATAAAACAATACATCTATTATGAATCATTTCGCAATTTGCATCTATTTCATTTCCAACCATCCAAAAAAGAATAACTTTTAATGTCAAATTCCATACAAATTAAGTATATTCCAACCTAAAATAATAATAATATTCCATACAAAATAGAGAATCAGAACAAAACATGTTCTCCGTACACAAATATATTCTCTAAAGAAGATATCTTTATTGCTGTAAAGTGAGTTGATAATGATGTCCATAAACCTAGACACCTCAGCTTGAAATTCAAACTTCTCTGCATTACTGTGGAGTGATCTCTTCAACAAGTTTCCCTAAACCACATAATTAAAAAACTGGACTTTGTAAGCAAATAGCTGCAGAGATGGATTGTTAAAAAAAAAAAAAAAAACGATTTCAATGAAGATACCTTTGGCTCTTGGAATTGCAACAGCCCTGCATACTCATACAACAAAAGAAAATAAATTCAACCAACCGTCACATTTGCGCCTTCCTATGCATTTGAATTTAAAAACTAAAACAAACTAAGACTACATAAAATTTAACTCATAAACATTGAAACCTGATTTTCAAGATTTGTTACAGAGCAATGGACCTCCCTCCTAGGTTCATGATTCAACAGCAATACACCACACACTCAATATGTCTTTAAACTAAAACTTTTACCCAAAAAAAAAAAAAAGAGAGGACAAAACTATGTAATTCTAAACTGGGTGTTTTATGTACTACGACTTTTAGCTTTATAATGTAAAGCTTGCTTCCTTACTTGCTACCTAAAATTCCTAACAATATCCTGAAACAAAAACAATAGTAAAAAACAAAACTTTCCGCCCAAGAGAGATAAATTGCAATTTTGATTTCAACAAGGGATGTGAGATTAACTGTTAGTAGACATACACGATAAAATCCCCAAATTGATAGTAATTGGTTTCACAAAGCCTAATTTATTAACAACAATTATTAGTTATATGGCAAGTAATAGAATGTGAACCATGACCAGATGAAGCAGAAAATTGAAACTAATGTTACTACTTCATTCTAGCTAACATCTTCACTAGATTTTTTGACAAAAGATCTATTATCTT